ATCTATATAACACTCATCATCACTCCTTCGAACATGTCAAACCCGTTCGAGTTCATGCAGCATCCCAGCATCCCTGAGATATTACCAGCATCCAACATCGTCCAACTCTACAATCTCTACAGTAGGTCACCGTCACCAGCCACGAAGTCTCCAATTTCAGCCACCAAAGCTCGAAGACCTGTCAGATGCTTGGTGGTCCATAGCTCGAATTGCTGGCAGATGGGTAAGAGGGCTATTCATATATGGACACCATTGGACACACCTTACAAGGGGGCGATTCATATATGGGCGCCCCCCCCAACTTAGGGGCGGCCCTGGTACCAGGACCCTCCTGTCGGGGTGTCTATTTAAAGCCCCCTAGCTGTGATTCGGGGTGTCCATTAACCACCCCAACGACAGGGGAGGCCCTGAGCCTGGTGGGGCCCGTTCTTTCGTCGGATTGGTCGACCCAGGCCCAGTTCGAAAGGCCAGGGAGGCGCTGGATGCCACGGGCTACAACCCCACGCCCCGCCGGAAGAACATGACGGCGCGGGGAGGAAGTCGGTTGAAAGGGAAGGAGGGAAGAAGGGAAGGAGGGAGGGATAGGAAGGGATGGCCGGAAGAAGGAGGCATCCAATTCCAGAAATGAAGAAGTGTTGTCACAGTGTTGTCCACGTTTTCCACTTTGTGCACACCTGCGCGTGCGTTTGTCACGGTCAATCCTGAATTGCATGTGATATGTATCTATCATATATCCAGATGATTCAACTCTCTGGGTGAAGATATGTTGAGAAGTCTGTAATTAACATACATTTTGAAGTCAAAACCCTGGGGTTCTTTTGGGTCGTTTACAATTGAACGCAGTCGATCTTTTTCACACGTGTTCCCACCATGCGATGCTCCAGAGTGCCCCCCGATTTTGTTTCACGATTGTGCATGTTCTAAATCTGAGGGGGGGTCTAGCAGTGGCCCAAACCCCCAGTAGTATAGGAGTTCTGAGTTCTGACCGTATCATATCCATATTAGTCAAAGGAAGTTTAGTGTGCAAAACTTCCGTGTTACGGACATTCAACAGCTGTTCAACCACCACTCATCATACACCACTCATCATACACCACACTCATCATACACCACTCATCATACACCACTCATCAAACCACCACTCATCATACACCACTCATCATACACCACTCATCAGATTTCGTGGCAGGTGCAGCACTTTGTGAACCTCCAGGTGCAGATTTCGTGGCAGGTGCAATACAAAATGCGTTTTCGAGAGATAGCGGACGCATGAAATGCTGTATTTTTCAATAGAACCGGTGGCTTCGAACCTGGCAAGTCTAGCTCTGCGGAACGACGGTTGCGAGACGGTCTCGGGTCATGGTCGGTCGGCCGTCCATTGTGATTAGGTTTTCACTTGTCTCTTGAAGTGCAGATTTCGTGGCAGGCGCAGCACTTTGTGAACCTCCATGTGCAGATTTCGTGGCAGGCACAGCACTTTGTGAACCTCCATGTGCAGATGTCGTGGCAGGTGCAGCACTTTGTGAACCTCCAGGTGCAGATTTCGTGGCAGGCACAGCACTTTGTGAACCTCCAGGTGCAGATTTCATGTCAGGCACAGCACTTTGTGAACCTCCATGTGCAGATTTCGTGGCAGGCGCAGCACTTTGTGAACCTCCATGTGCAGATTTCGTGGCAGGTTCAGCACTTCGTGAACCTCCAGGTGCAGATTTCGTGGCAGTCACAGCACTTTGTGAACCTCCAGGTGCAGATTTCGTGGCAGGTGCAGCACTTTGTGAACCTCCATGTGCAGATTTCGTGGCAGGTGCAGCACTTTGTGAACCTCCATGTATAGAGTTCGTGGCAGGCACAGCACTTTGTGAACCTCCATGTGCAGATTTCGTGGCAGGCGCAGCATCTGACTTTAGTACGCGGAGCAATTTGTGAGCTGGAAGCTGAGAACTGGCAACTTTCTAGTACAACTTTAGTACGCGGAGCGATCTGTAGAGCTGGAAGCTGAGAACTGGCGACTTTGTAGTACAACTTTAGTACGCGGAGTATCTGGCGAGCTGGACGATGAGAACTGGCGACTTTGTAGTACAACTTTAGTACGCGGAGTATCTG